TGATACTTTTCTTCCTATTTTTGGCCGAAAAAGTCGCTGATCGAATCCCAGCCAGGGTAATTTGGGAAATGAGACTTGAATGAGATATTGTTTCCTTGCAGAAAATGTTTTTTCGCTTGATTTCATCATTCCATATACAAGGTATGTGGAAAAACAAAGTTTCAAATTGAACCCGAATATTATCGCATATTTCGGAAGAGCTCTCTTTACTGATTTCGAAGATATTTATTGTCCACATATTCTAATTCTATCGAGAAGTTGACGAAATATCAGCAAAATTGAATATGATTCTCTGGTCTTGAATAATATTCAGTAGACATTGCGGATCTGAATGCAAATCAGGAACTTCTTGACGAATTGAATAAAAAATTCGTCAAAATAAGGCCTGAATTGTTGTAATGAAAATAACGGAATAGTTGAATATCTCTTGTATAGTAATTTTTTCTCCAAGTAGGTATTCAACTTAAACCTCCACTTAAACATTTTGAATCAGTTGGAGGTTCAATTTCAGAATTTTTTTTGATATTGTGATAGGATAATTGTGAAAAAAATCAATTTTGAATATATGAATTTTTCTGATTTGCTTTCAAGAGAAAAAATAATACTGGAAAGTGTAGGTATAATTAATGTATCATTCAATATCATTCTTCCTCCAAATTTTACATTAAAATCAATATTTGCTGATATTTCGTCAGTTCTCAGTTAGATTAGACATGAAAAGTGAATACTATACGAAATCTGGAGAGATAGCTCTTTCGAAATATGCGATAATATACAGCGGGTCCCATTTGGGAAAACATTTTTTTCGACATACCCTCGCATACCCTGTATCTATATGAAATGGAAATCAACAGCAGCTCTCAAGTCCGGATATCAGCTTTTGAAGTCGTGGAGTCCATAGTGAATCACCCTGTACATACAACCCAACGAGATACATATACTACCGAGGATATATACTACTACTAAAGAAGAGTATCTTGTTGATAGGAAATAAAATCCAGCTCTGAAATTATTTTCTATCAGATAAGTATGTATCTATTACGAGATCTATTATCAACTCCCGTGCTATACCGGATGCAAGAAATTAATGTGAATAAGTTGTTCATTTTGACCCGACTTTTGACCACTTTCTGGAGAGAATATTGAATAATTATAGTGGAAACATAGATCTAAATACACACGTAAAAATAACGATATGCCCCCTTCGCGCATTTTCAACATCTTTGAATGAGTCTTTGAAGTCAACACTCACAAGTCGAGGTGAAAATTCGAAGTAAACCCTCTGCGATCTCATATAAAGACCTAGAAAATGATAAATGCCACAATAAAAAGCATGAAGTCGACCTTGTACATGAAACATCTAATGATGAAAATGGAACCATCAAACCATAAAATACCGCATGAATCTCTGATGTGTCACGGCTGAGAAAATTTTCACTGGCTTCAAATTATCATGATGATTATTAGACGTAGACCACGACCTCACGAGGGGTTTAGGTGAATTGAGTTAAAAATAAGTATACCAAACGTATTAGAATATTATACAGGGTGACAATTTGAAAACAAGCTGCACTCAATATTTCTTTAACTGATGCCACTATGGAGATTTGGCGAAACATGTCAATTTATATATCAAGAGGGACAACTTCAAATCATGCAACGTCAGGGCATTTACCCTTTTAATTTCAAATGACAACCCCCAATTATTTTTGTAATTTATGAAATCCTTATGTGATTCCAGATAATTTACACCAATTCTCAATTTTTTGCTCGATTTTTTGTGTTCAAAATTGCATTACTTAACCTCACGTATATATAGAATAACTGTAATTTATGATGATGATGAAAATAAATGTACATACAGACACTCGTACAGACATAACTAATTACTTCATGTATTATTCAAAATGGTCTCCAATGTTTTGTGTGCAAAAGTACAGCTGATATTCAAACTGCTCGCGGTCTCTGGAATATCGGCTGCTATTGTTGTTTGGTATACAAAACAATGGAGATCCTTTTGAACAATCCATAAAGTAATTGGTATATTAGCAATTAGTTTGAGACAAACAATTGAAAATAGTCGTCAGGTACATAAGGATTTCAAAAATAGCAAAATAATGGAGGGTTTCCCTGGGGGTTTCCATTTAAAATTTTAGTGGTATAGTCGCCCTGACGGTGACGGGCGAGGTGACGGGACAAATGTAATGTAACAAAGTAACAAACGAATACTTCAAAAGTTATTGTCTCTCTTGATATATAAATTGACGTATTTCGCCAAATTTTCATAATGTCACCATGTTTGAGAAATATTGAGTGCTGCTAGTTTTCAAATGTTCACAATGTATGTAGCGAGTAAGTAGCGGTAGAGCTGGGAAATATTCAAGCTTTAATTGAGAATCATTGTTACAATATATTTTTACAATGATTTCAAGTTATTTGGTCAGTGATAACTTTGATTCGATGAAAAATTCCGTTGATGCTGTCTCCGCCGAATCTTTTTTTTTTTTGCAAAAATTGTACCTACAACGCTTGTTCGAATCCGCCTATAAAAATAATTGCATTACATTGTATAGTGATCTACTATGGTCGAGGTTATTCCTTTAAATAAATGATAAAATATACCTTCGAGGTTCACATCTGTATCATTTAAAATCAACAATATTTATCGCGATAAAGTTCTTTGAGCTGTTCAGACTTCATGTGAAATTTCCTCGGAAATTTCCTTCGGTAAGTAATCCTGCTCGTAATCCTGCTAGGAATTTGATATTGTGTTTGAATTTATCATGCTAAAAAATTGTAGTAATGATGATTAATTATTTTAGCCTGTTCGATAGGTACTGGATATGAGGATATCGCCCAGATCAAGATGCGTGTCTGATTTGATTCTAAGTACTTGCTACAAACTTCCTCTTGATGAGGAGGAAGATTTCAGGTACGTTCCAAACAGAAGAATCTGCATCTGATTTAGCTGTTTTTGGAGCTGCAATTCACTCGACATTTTAGGTAGAGTAATTCGATTGAAAGAAGTAAATCCAAGCCCTGCAAAGTCCGAGCTTTGACCCAAACCGAGACCCAAACATACATCCCAGCATCCCGGTATAATATTCATCATGATATTTTTTATAAGTTCAAGGCAGAAAACTACCTACTCATTCATCATCTAACCTATCGAACATGGAAATACAAAAAGATAATGTAAGTACATGAAACAAGTGGAATCTTATAAAGAACAACCTAGCCCGAATATACGATAAATCGAGCGATAAATTATTAAAATTATATATATTATTTGTATAGCTACACTTTTTGATCAGTTTAGGACTTGGTTCAGGATATGTTTTGATTTTTTGAAAAGGCAAAATCCTCAGGAAGAGTATATTCAGGCTGATTTTGGTTAGTTCACATACAAATCCGCACGCACATTTTCTCATGTCAAAATGCGCGACATTCCTGTTTCTCACAGTATTCCACGAAATTGTATTTTACGAGGTGAGTATATATACCTATTAAGTGATTATGGTAAATTTCTTGGAACAGTGGGTTATCTAATCTATTTCAAAGTCGAACCGTGTCAAACACGGTCGAACAAGCCCATGATAGGGATGTTTTATAAGATATATCGAAGGGTTTCCCTCACATAATCATATGTAACAAAAATACTAAAAACAATTGGAGATAACAGTTCGAACATGCAAGTGCGTAGACGGGAATCGTAGATGGGAAACGCTGGATCACGCTGGATGCAGCAGTCAGGACGTCGCGATCGAGGCTGAGATAATCGATTTTGCAGCTCCTGACCCTCTGACCTACATTTAATCAAGCAAGCAGGAACAAAACCGTTAAAATTGAGAGCAAAGAAAAATGTTACATCGCCAAATGCTCATCTAAGTTGACCACCAATTGATTATTTCATTAGAATTTTTAGTTGTGATACCTACATATAGAGCTACATATTATTGCTAAGCATCAGACCGAGCATCAGACTATAACCATATAACCGGCTCCTATAACAGACATTATAAGTTGGCACCTCGGTTGGCACGTAGGGGTTACCCACCTATACTAGTGAATTGCAATAGTTGCATGATTGCGTTATCATTTTTGCTATGTACTGAAATTTTATCAATAATGTTGATGCAATACGTATATAGGCCTAGGCGAGGCCTAGGTATAGGCCCCTCTTTATTTGGATGATTGACTATGGATTTTATGCTTTCAACACTCAATATCTCAAAAACAAATCAATATATTGTAAACTCGATTGAAAACTTCAAAACACTATCTTGAATTAGATGTTCTTCCTCGTGTTTTTCTATTTCGAATGGTGCTCTCGAAATATTATAACCCCATAATTTTTTTCAATAGAATACCTTATATTTTATTGCATATCTCAAAAGAGTATTAAAGAATATAAAGTTCTCATACATTTCATGGAGTAATACTGGGTGAATCGAAGGAACAAAAATATCAAACCGCGGCGTATATTACCCAGCGCGGCATATTCACCCAATTTACTCTATAGGTGTATAGGATCGATAGGTAGATGATATAGAAATTTATGCAAGAATATCTATCATACCGGTGGTATAGGCAAGTTTTGGTACCTATAAAACTACTCTCTTCTTGTTTCGTTTTTACTATCGTTTACTACAATAACAATCAAGTATGCAGTATATATACCTATACCATAGATCCCTATACCAATAAGCTACCAATAGGTACATATGTAACTACCTATATATAGGCACATTCACTAGATTATACACTCGATAACATAATATATAACGAGTATAATAACCGATAATACCTATACCTAGGTAGGTACACTGACACTCGTGTTGGGAAAACATATGATAGGCGGTTGGACGGTGTCTTATTGCAGCAGTGTTTTAGAGAGGCCACACCGTCCATGTGTGATAGATATTTTCTCAGAAGACGAGTGTACCTATACGTACATATATATATCTACTATGGATTGTATTCCCCTTACATAGGCTTACCTTTCGTTGAGCTTCCGCTGCGAATCCACTTTTGGTCGCCCTGTTCGTTGCCATTTTTTGGTGTACTTGGAATAATGTGAAAAACCTACACACCGAAAACCTTCAGTTCTGCGAACTACGAATGAACCCAAATACCAAATCACTAAGTAGCAAAGCGCGCTGGAACTGGACTGGACGAACGATCGTGTATTCTGTGTTCACGTTTCACAGCAGTCCCTCCATTTGACAGCGGCGTAGTGAAAATTTCCCCGAGAAAGTAAACGTGGTATCGTGTGATAACGTGGTATCCTGTGATATTATACTCGATACAGTCAGTTTGGTGGTTTCGCGTTTTGAATTCGCCCTACTACTCACTTGACGTCACTGGTCGCAGGATCTTGGCGGGAACGAATGTACCGTACTGAGATTTTCGAAATTTTTCGGAATGTGTTCGTGTTTTATCGTTTTATTTTGCCATGATTGCCGATCCAGTATCGGGTGGATTTTCAGAAACTTTCTCTGCATCAATTCGAATGTACTGTAGAATTTCGATGAACATTACAAATTTAGAATTGAATATAACGGTTACGTCACCTTCAGCTCCAGAAATGTTCCATATTCTTGTTGGTAGATTATTTCTTGTTCCACAAAAACTAGGAAAACTTTCCCAGGTAACACGGAATTCTCCGCGATATCTCTAAGTAGTTATCTCATCAGGATCAAGATGCGAATTCCTCTTACGAGGTGCCATATATATAGATCGCTATAGGCTGTCACCATGGGAAATACTCTCTGGAGTCGTCCGAAATAATTTGCGGAGATCTCGCCTCAGATTTGAAATATTGCTCATTATTGCAAATTCCTGAGATTATCTCTAACAGGAAATGAATGAGCATTTCTTTCTGCGAGCACCCAAGGGATATCCTGGACGTAACAAGAACGAGCATTTTCCATTACGAGTTTCTAAAGTAATCACAAACATAACCTGAATAGTTAATGAATATTTATAAAACAATATTGGGTTGTTCTTTTCAATCACCTTCAAAAATATTAAATGCCACTAAACGGTAGGTACTCCATTTCTAAAACGTCATCGAAGGGGCTGATTATTACAGAGTACATCTATATTGTTTGATTGAAACTCATAACGTTGATCCAAACGTTTGATAATTTCATCTTCGGCGCTGAACTTCACCCCAAACGATATAGCTAGCGGTAGTTAGACTTCGCCGACAGGTTACTGCTGATGACCAATGACTCCCAAGACTTGAACACCATTCACCATACCCTATCATAGATGAAGAAACCCAAAGTAATCTACACAACATTTATTTGACGATCAGAGATCGATCACATAGAGGTATATGTTTCGGGCTTATATAAGCCCATCATTAACCGAATACAAGAATTCAGTTATGGAATTAAAAAAGTTGAGGAATTGATAATTTTGACAATGGAATGGTATAAGACACAGACGTATGCCTCATGATTAGGTATAATAAATATATTGTTTTTCATAAAAAATTACGAAATGGGTCGAGTTAATAATTTTATAAGGGCCCCGTGCCCTTAATGCTAAAGGTGAAATCACGTGATTTGAGTTTATCATTTCTTAGCTTAACTTTGATACCCCATCAAAATTTGTTTGATTTTTTAAATGTTTGATTGTCACCTTTGGCAATTTGAGGGCACGTGGACCCTTATAAAATTACTAACCTGATCTATTTCGTAATGTTTCTATGAAAAACAAAAAAAAAAAAATTATACTTAATCATGGTACATACGTCTGTGTCTTGTGCCATTTTATTGTCTAAATTATCAATTTTTCAACCTTTTCATTTCCATAAATTCCTGTATTCTGCTGATGATGGGCTTATATAAACCCGAAACATGTACCTCTATGTGTTGGATCTCTGATCGTCAAATAAATGTTGTGGAGATGACTTTGGGTTTCTTCATCTATGAAATATACCACGCCACTTTGAGTTACCATGGACTTCTTCCAAAAATGAAATCATACTATATCAGTAGCAATCTTGTGGCGATTGATGCGAATATCGCTCCTAAAGTCCTTGTTAAAAGGCGATATGCACAGAGTCACACTTGAAGAGTTCGTTATTATCCATTGATACGAATCTCCCAATGTTCTCGTCACAAGGCTATGTTTGCGAATATCTCAAACAGCTCGTAGTCTCGAGAACTTGCTCTTCCTGCTGAACTTGCTTTTTTCTATGACTTTATTTGTTTACATCATGCTATGTACAGAAACAACTATGAGAAAAAATCAACTTTAGCAAGCAATACAAACCAACAGGCCTCTGGTAGGAATCGCAATTTTACTGACAAAAACACGGAGAAGTAAACGTGTTTCTTGCAAAAATATACCCGAGCCTCAAAATTACCGTATTAAAAATGAAATAAAATAATGCGTTGAATATTCAGGAAAAAAATAATTCCTGAATATACCGGATGATACTGATTCATGGTATACCCCCTTTTCTCCTTTGTTTTTCTAGCTATATTTCTGAAATTTGGAACATCGAATGTACTAACTGAAGGACACTTTCTCAAATTTCAGGAAATTGTTTTCATCTACCGGTTTTCCTGGAAATCTCATCAACTTTCCATTGCCAAATGGAACACCCTGCATTTCATTCCATAATCGGTTGAAGGTTGATAGTATAACAAATTTAACAATATCGGGTTTGATCGTGTTATTTCGAACGATTACGAAGATATTCGCATTCGAAGTTACCAAGAGCTCAATGAGTGTGACAGAGAAAGAAGATTCGATATTGCGCCGTCCGAGGCGCCGTCACACCCATTGCGCTCATGGAAACTTCGAACTAGAATATTGTATTGTTTAATTCGTTATAATAATCTCTAACTGATTATTGAATAAAATACAGGATGTACCATTCGAAAATAGAGGTTGATACCTCGGTTGATACTATTTCCAGAAAAACCAGAATATGGAAAAAATAAATGTCCTAAAGGGTGAGAAAGTGACCTCTAGTGAGCATTTTCGATGTTACAAATTTCAGAAATATAGTTAAAAGCCAAAGGACAAAAGAGGGGTATACCATGAGTTTTTGTTACCCGGTAAATATCACGGATTTTTACCATCATTTGTTGAAGTGTAGGAATATTTTCAGTGGCATTGAAAATGTGGGAAAAAAAGTCTAACATACTTTATTTTCTGAAATTGTATGTATACAGGGTGTTTCAAAATGTAGTATCGAGATTTAAGGGTCATATTTTTCAGGTCGAAATAATTTATATTTATAATCAACATGTATTGTGTTCGCAAACGCAAACGCTTATTTGCTACCGATCTACAGATTGTTAAAGATTTTTTCTCACCTCTTCAAAGCTCTCTCAGTTTTCGAGATATTCAGATAAAATTTGAAACCTGGTAGGGCACGATTAAGGGTTCACATCATGCAGTATGCCGAATATTTATTAAAATCCACAGGAAGCCACTTTTCTAGAGGTCTTGCTATTTAGCGCTGCATAATTTTTCTATCAAAAACTTTAATTACTTTCTTCTTGATAACGGTCGCAGATGCGTAAGAATGGAAAAAGACAAACAAGTTTATGAAGAAAACAAAGAATCAATTTTATATACTTATCAAAATCTACCACAGGCATACCAAACAAAAAAGTTCATGAAGCGGGAGATGGCTTGGTCCCTGAAAACATTTCTCATTGTTAATTCTCACCATCACTCGGCATACTGTACTATGTCAACTCTGAAACGTAACCTTCATTCAAAATTTTATCTAAATATCTCGAGAACTGAAACAGCTGAAAAAAATCTGGGAACTTTGATGCTCCGTAGTTTTTTAACAAACCGTTCGCAAACACAACATGTTCATAGAAATAAAATCTCATGTTGACCTCAAAAATAGGCCCCTGAAATCTTGATACTGAATTTCGTAACGCCCGGTATAAGAACAGGTAGGAACCGATTTTGACGGCTAAGGACTTTTGGAAACCTAACCCGTTAACGTTAGATCTTTGATGAAATCTATATTTTTAACTACCATTAGAGTTTTATTCTTTCAGACAGATCGATCCATCGCCAAAGCTGCTCCACAAAAACTAGGATTTTTGTTTCGTGCGAAAATCTACTTGGGCTACCTTCCATTTTTCCATAGATGCTTCCACGGGAAATGATCCTCAGAAACCTCTGCTATCATCATTGCCAACCTTGAAATATGTAGAACAACACTTTACCAACACTTGTTCGTCTGTAGAATGACAAAGTCTTGGCATTCTTTGAAGATGGAAGAATTCCCCAGAACTTGTATAACCTCCAAAAGTTCAAAAAATACCTACTTCTCTTCCTATCCTCCCTAGGTACACACGATGTTCTTCGAACATTATAGGAATTTCCTTTCGTGCGCTTCAAAAGAGATAACTAAAAGAATCCGTAAGTTATAAAGCCAACAGTGAAACGACGCGGTGTTGTTGGTTGCATACCACAATCGATCGTTAATAGACAAATTGATCATTAATAGAGGCATTTCAACTTCGCGTTCTTAATTCATAATTTATAATTCATAATTCGAACTTGTTGATATACGAATTCGAGGAAATAGTTATTTAGTATCTTGTGCACGAAATGCTACTTTGGTGATCGAGAATCACCAAAGTATTTCGCGGACGAGTTGCTAACAAATTTTTTCCTACATACTTCAAAAAATATTGTTTTAAAATAATAGTACTTATGCTTAGCTCATTCATATAAAAAATAGTGTTGAAGTGGCTCAAAAAGCTTCGCTTATTTGAAATTACACGGCCGTTACTTGATGATGATGTTCCTTGATCACGACATGTTTCGCTAACGAAGTATCTTCTTCAAGTAAAATACTTTCACAATGAACAAAAACTGATGGTTTATTGTACGAGTATCTCACTTGAAGCTACTGTGTTAGCAAAACATATTATGTGATGATAAGAATTTTGTGGAAATCTTATCGTTTTACATTGCGCACAGTTCCGAGCAAGTTGTCATAGGAACGTAGGAAACTGAAGAAAGTGCAAGATGATAGTATGTTATACTGGTAGGAATAAGCAAATTTCAAAATCGTTGATCGAATAATACATATTTTTCGAGTATTTTTTGTCCCTGTAACTGCCATGAAAATTTTTTGCGTGCGCTACTGCTTATTTCTCGGACCTCATAGCACGGCTGGCTCACTCCACCTTTTATTGAAATTTGATGACGAAGAACTCTTCAAAAACCGGTAACCGGTTAAATGAATTCGTTGAAATGGCCTTGGGAAAAATGCATACTATTGTTGAGAGCAGGTTAAGGAATTATTGCAATGTCGCGGTTACTTTACTTTTGCTTTTCGGAATACAATCTGTTGTATAGGTACAATCTAGGGCACCCATAATGTGACCTCACCTCATTTTTAATCTACTGGCAATTTTTTCTCGCTTTATGATGTGAA